TGGTTGCTTGTTACTCTTGGAGATTGCCACCTCCTAGATGGCTTGGTGGTGGTCTCCGTCGAAGCCCGCAAGAAGTTTGTACGGTGCTCCAGAGAAGAGCTTTGTGAGGGGCATTGTGCTCGCCCCGCGGGAGCCGCGAAGAGCAACTCTAGTAAAGCGAGACGCGAAGGGCGACAAGTGGTCCGGCTGGGTCAAGTGCTAGAGCTTGTGGTAAGCACTCCACGTGGGAGAGTGTGACTTGCGGGTCACCACTAGCAAGAGGACCGGCGGCAACCTTGGAGCTTGTCTCAACAGGGACTAGCTTGTTGGCAAACAAGTGAACCTCGGGAGAAAAATCACCGTGTCAACATTGTCATCATCTTCTCGGTGGTTTGCTCTTTACATACACAAGCACTTTACTTATTGTTATATACTTGTGCTTATTGTTGCTGCTCTTGCGCTACTAGTTTGCTAGTAGCTAGCTTTGCTTGTGTAGCTTAGTTAGCTCCCTTGCGTGGCTAATTTGGTTTGTGTAACATTATTAGTCACATTGCTTAGTTTGTGTAGCTAAGTAATTTGCGCTCTCTAATTTGGCATGGTTGCCTTGTTATTGAGCATTGCTAGTGAGCTTAGGCTTTGTGCTTTTGCTTACTAAAATCGTGTAGGAGCTCCTCCGGTTGGCAAAGTACTAGTTGCATAGGTTTGTGTGACCTTGCCACTAAAATTGTTTAGGCGAGCTCTTGCCAACCTTGGCACCTTAGTTTCTTAGTTACTATCATTGCAAGGTGCTAGAGTACTTAGATAGAGGGGTGTAGTCTTGGCTAGATCGATAGTTTTAATTCCGCACTTGAATCGGTTAGCCGACGCGATTAAGTTTTAAGAAAAGACTATTCACCCCTCTCTAGTCTGCCATCTCGACCTTTCAACTACTACGTAATCCATCTCTACGATGCACTTATAGGAGAAAGAAGGGGAATAATGCTCGGGCAGGAAGGTTGGGCACCGAGATAAAGCAGTCAGCTTGGCGCCGTTGTTGGTGGCGCCAAGCTTGACGCCAAGATCTACGACGCCAAGCTTGGCGCCATCAACGATGGCGCTGAGCTAAGGGTTCAAATTTTAAAATCGTACCTTCAGGAACATATTTGTGAGAAACTTTCGAAAAAAGGACTAAAAATAAAAAATTCGGAGGAACCCAGGCGGCTGTTTTTTTCTTCTTTTTTTATTTCGTTTCCCTCGGCAGGTTCGCCATGTGTCACGTAGCGATAGGCCAACAGTAGCCAAATGCACGGGAGAGCAGCAATTTATTTGCGGTTAAAGAGATCACGACAGTTTCGGCACGTGTCACTTAGCAATAGGCCAACAGTAGCCAAATGCACGGGAGAGCAGCAATTTATTCGCGATTAAAGAGATTCAGCCTGTTCGCTTGAGATTATCAGCCAAAACAGCGAGACAATCAGCAATGTTTTTCTCTAAAAAAACTAGTCAGTAGTACTTTCAGCCAGCCAGATCAGCCTAAGCGAACAGGCTGATCTATTATAAGATATATAGGTCCCTGTTGGCGGCGATATGTCGACATCAAGTATGTGCCTTCCTCCGAGGCTTCTCGGGCAACGGTGTTACCGATGGTGTAACAGGCACGGCAGGTAGGGCGGTGGATCTGCGGCGTAGGGCGGTGGTGCGGGGAGGAGAGGCGGCGGCAGGGGGTGGCGAGCGGGTGAGGGCGACGGCGGCTTAGGGCTAGAAGGGGAGAGAGAAGAAGAATAAATGCCTTTAGGCTATTTCTTTATTAAGTCCCAATGGATACAAAGTCCCTCGTATTTATAGTCCGGGGAGACTTGGGCTTTTTTAAGCAATTCCCAGGAGATCCTTATAGTAATTGGATTCCTCCTTTCTAAACAAACTAACTTCCTATCTTTAACAAACTTTCCCTAAAACAACTCAAACTAGATTTAGGTAACCGAAGATAACGTGGAAAGGTTGGACGGCTGCAGAGGCGGTGGCCGCGGCGCCTAGGTCGCGCGCCCCTCCCTCCTCTAGGTCGGGCCACAGGGTCAGCGGCACCCCCCTTATGGGCCCCTTTTAGCCCAATTTCTTCCTTGATGGTCACAGTCCATATTGGACCTGTGACAGAACTCCCCTCTTCTCCGATCAGCGCGTCCTCATGCTGAAACATTCGCCATGAAGATGAAGTCGTCGTTGGTTGGCGAACACCCCATGGATGTCCAGCAATTGGACTATGACATCCCCAAATGCTTCGTAGTTGGGTTCGCCAGCTGTAGCGAAAATGAAGGAGTAATGGAAGGAGCCAAAGTATCCTGAAATGATGTAGTCGTATGTTGCACCCTTTTGGGTGTTGTTAAAGGCGTACTTGGCCTCATTTAAAGCCGAGCGAGGTGGGTTCCTGTAAAGTGAATCGTTTTCATAACCCGAGGAGGTCGTGGAAACGAATGTACCTGTCCTACGTTAACAGTTCCCTAAAGTCTAAAGAGCATATTTCCTGTCATGCATTGTACCAAAGAGCGTATTTCCTGTCATGTCATAGGGGGGTGAAACGAGTGGGTAACCACTTGGCTGGTATTGGTCCATGCAGACATCATTAATGGTGATAAAGATCTGGTCGTTATCGTAGAAGAGGGCAATTGTTGCTGCTGGTAGTTGGTGTTGCGGCCATGTCTCCAAGAGAAGTATGCTTGACGGAAACGCTTGCCATGCTGGATCTGATGTTGCTGAATGGAAACCAATTGCAAGAAGGTGTGAAGCTGTCATACCAATCGAGTCCAGGATGATGTCCTGCAGTAGCGGTGAGGTGGCCGGAACGTAAAAGCTGTTCTCATAGTAGATGATGCCCTCTCGAATTGTCCAAGCTAGTGCTACTGCTTGGAATGTAATGGTGTCGTAGATGATCTGTAGCTCGCGTTCGTCTCCGCTAGCCATGCGAAGCTTAATGATGACGTCAGTAATGTCTTTGCAGCGCGGAACGTCCTTATTTGTACCCATGTTCTATTGATGAGCTGTTGGTGTCGGTGAAGCTGCTGAAGTGGCCTGCTGAAGTTCACGTCGGGCCTTAAGATCGGCTAGTGAGGTGTAGCCGTTCTTTGGCACGGGTGCTCGGGCTTCTGGTGGCGCCGTTTAAGTCGATTGAGGGGGTGTGGGCGCCCTCTCTTTCTGGTTGTGTCGGCGACCTTGCCTGGTTGGAGCTAATGCTGGTGGAGGGGCAGCCTGAATAACTATTGGAGCATCCAAACTGCGGGCGAGGCCGATGGCTGCCTCCATCGATCGTGGTAAGAAGGGAACGACCGCCTCTCGGAGCTCTGGTCGTAGGCCGAGGACGAAGAGGCTGACTTGGTGCTGCTCGCTGTTGAGGTTGATGCGATGGGCGTAATCGATGAATTTGTTGATGTAGTCGTTCACATGGTCGACGTGGCGAGGTGGTGCCATGTCGCTGTCGGTGTCGCGGTTGGGGCCGAAGTTGTTTGTGACGCCCTCGACGAAGCGCGTCCATTCGGTGATGGGCGCCTCCTCAGTGGAGCGCATGTACCAGCGTTCTACCCTGTCCGTCAAGTGAAAGGCCACGTACCAGACACGTTGCTCCTCTGTCAGACGGCATAGTTCTGCGAGTCGTTCCATGCGTGCCAGCCATGGTGCAGGATCTCCCGAGCCATCGTACGATGGTGCGGTGAGACTGGTGGTGAAGGGAAGGTGCTCTAGATGGTATGTAACTGACATAGGTGAGACCGAATAAACAGATTGAACAGCATGTCGAACCTGTTGCGTTGCGTTGGGCTGCTGTTCTCGTGGTTCCTGCAATGGCAGAATGTCGTCCTGTGCCTGATGCTGTGGTGACGGTACCTCCTTCTTTGGTGATGCCGCCAATGCTAGGACTACCTCTGGCTGAGGCTGTTCTGGCGCCATAGGAGGTGTCGAGGCAGTTAGATCACCAAGTTGTTGTTGGATATAAGATTTGCCGGCAGTGAGCATAACACGTCTCGTTTTGGTTGCAATCTCCTCCATGGTCGCCTCGTGGTTGAGCCTCTACTCATCCACGATGCGTCCTTCGTGAATCTGTGTTTGCTCGATGTCGTGGATGCGGGCGTTGAGGTTGATCACCTGCTGATGCATCTCGTCGAGCTTGGTTCAGAGGTTGGTGGAGAACTCCTGGAATAGCTCCTTCATGGCGGCGGTGGTGATGGCCATGGATCGATCTGGACTCGCGATACCAGCTGTAACAGGCACGGCGGGTAGGGCGGTGGATCTGCGGCGTAGGGCGGTGGTGCGAGGAGGAGAGGCGGCGGCAGGGGGCGGCGCGCGGGTGAGGGCGGCGGCGGCTTAGGGCTAGGAGGAGAGAGAGAAGAAGAATAAATGCATTTAGGCTATTTCTTTATTAAGTCCCAACGGATACAAGGTCCCTCGTATTTATAGTTCGGGGAGACTTGGGCTTTAAGCAATTCCCAGGAGATCCTTATAATAATTGGATTCCTCCATTCTAAACAAAATTCTAACTTCCTATCTTTAACAAACTTTCCCTAAAACAACTCAAACTAGATTTAGATAACCGAAGATAACATAGGAAGGTTGGACGGCTGTGGAGGCGGCGGCGGCGCCGCGCGCCCCTCCCTCCTCTAGGTCGGCGACGCCCCCTTTATGGGCCCCTTTTGGCCTAATTTCTTCCTTGATGGTCACAGTCCGTATTGGACCTGTGACAGACGGTATGTGTTCTGGGGAGGATCTTGTGTGGTATGTAGTCCACAAACTTGAGAAATCAGGTTTGTGTTTTGTTGGAGAAAATTGCATATTTAGGACTCCAAACAATGCGCTTCGCGAATATAGGACTCCAAACATCGTCTTCGTAAAAATAACCATTGCCACGACATTTGTTGTATTTCATCTCTTTTTAATTCCTAATACATGTATTTCCTACCTAAACCGCCTTACATACCCATCTGCATGAGCCGACGTTTGGTTTTCCATCTGTCGTTTCGTGTCCACGCCGCCGCCGGGTACGCACGTACCTAGCAGGATCCATGCCGCGCGGCAAGATCCAGATGAACCTCATCGGCGACGCACAGGATCGCGTCAAGGTCTTCAAGCGGAGGAAGGTGGGGCTTGTGAAGAAGGCGAAAGAGCTCACGAAGCTCTGCGACGTCGACATCGCGCTCGTCGTCTGCGCCGGCCCCGACGGCGCACCGGCCGTGTGGGAGTCCGACCCGAGCGTCGTCATCGACAGGTACCGCAGGCTGCCAGCGGACAAGCGCGGGCGAAGCACACGCACCTGGACTGCATCAACAGCCAGCTGGGCAAGGAGGAGCGCAGGCTCGACAAGAAGTGGAGGCAGGGTCTAAACCTGCTCGCGTGCCCCGGCGAGGCGATACTGAAGGACATGAACCTAGAGGAGCTGCTCGCGTCCATTGATGCGGGGCTGCTGACCACGGCTGAGAGGCAGAAGACGTTGGGCGTCGCCGACGACAATGCCCAGCAGCTTGGGCAGCAGGTGTCGTCGGACACTCGGACGCTGTCGTGCTGGTCATTGGGCGAGGGGGTCCTCCGTTCGTCGGCGGCGACGGCCTCGATGACATCCAGGCCTGGGTCGACGAGCTCATGTGGGACGGTGCCGAGCCGCTTCCGCTGAATAATGCCAGCATGATGCAGCCCGCGTCCGGTGTGATTCAGTACATCAACGGTGGCAACGACGTGGACATGGTCAGCAACCATCAGTGCCTGCAGGCGCAGACGCTGCCAGGCAATGGGGAGAACGGCCACGGCCAGTTGGCACCTACCAGCTGAACACCACCGTCTCTCACCCTGATTATCACGGCTTCCAATGCGCTGGCAACCTTACGTACCCATCTGCATGAGCTAAGGTAACCGGTGGCGGCAGCCAGTCAGCCTGCCCTGTCGGTGGCAGGCGGCCAGCCCAGACAGAGCCAGCGCCGGAGGCTTTCAAATCACCGTCTAAACGACTGAAGGGTAAAGGGATCACTTTAGGGAATAAATACATGTATTAAGATAAGAAAAGAGACTTAATACACGTAATTTTATGAAAATCAAGAAGCCAATGTTTCAAGGGTCATTTTTATGAAAATGATGTTTGGAGTCTTATATTTGCGAAGCGCATCGTTTAGAGTCCTAAATATGCAATTTTCTCGTTTTGTTGTTCGCTTTGATGTCGTCTTCCCTTTCTATGTTGTTTCTTCGTTCACGACTCGGGGTTGCCTGCGTTCCTTGAAGTTGCCTGCGTTCCTTGAAGTGACAGATCTCATATGTCTCGACGTTGTGATGGCTGGTGGCCGACAACTATTGCCAATTGTTGCAGCATTAAAAAAAATTAAAGCTTCTATGAAAGCTTCTTCGTCAAGATGGAGACCGTGGCTCATTGGGTGGTCGCTCCTATCGTCGATGATGAAGACTAGGACGATAGGCGCGCTTCGCCGCGCCTGTATTGACTGTTCAAAAGTGTGTTAGTCTATAGGAGCCGATGTTTTTAGTTAATTAGTTTGCACCGATCATCATAGCATACAATTTGTTCTCTGTCAGGTCAACCAAATGGCTTCCAATGTTACCGAGCTGCTGCCTCTACTGACATAGGCTAAAAATAATCACAAAAACTGAAGAGGGCAATAAGCTTATAGAAAACAACCATCTAGCGGCTGCAGGTATCAGAATCACCATAAGTAGCCGAATAAAAAGCATTGCGCCCTGTTCGCTTGGCTGATAAGCCATGGCTGAAATTACTTGTTCGCTGATTTATTGTGAGAGAAAAACACTGCTAAATGGCTAGCTGATTTGGCTGATAAGCTCACGCGAACAGGGCGATGATATTTATGTGACAGGCTATTGGTTGAATATCTGTTGAACATGTAATACTATTCTATGATAGTAACTGCCACATTAGTGTACATTCACCGCATATGGTACTACATTGTTTGGTGCAGATAATGCCTGCAACTCTGCAAGCCTGAGTATTACATTACCTGGGACAAACGGAGGCAAAACACTAAAACTCTTAGTGCATCCATCTATATGATGATGACGTGCCTATGGAACCTAACTTGGCAGCACTAATCAATGACAATGGCTTTATGAAACTTAACTTGGCAACATCAATCCTCGTTTGCCCCTGCAATAGATAAATGGACATTCAGGAACTAGATGATTATCGTTAAGCTGCAACCTAGATGGAAATCAATTCAGCTAAGTATTGTAGGTACCTATCACAAGCGCAGGGCCAGAAAGTTATTTGGGGTCAAGTTTGGATGTGGGATTAGGTCAGGAACTTTTATAATTAGCCAGTTCTTTTTAAACTCTGACCTTGCATGATTTTTTCTATAATAAAAATATTGTAGGTAGTAGCAATTACATTGAACCAAAGAGGATAGGGAAAGAATAGTTACCCCCTCATGAAGAAGGATAAGGTCCACTCTGAGAATTAAGGTACATGCATGTAAACTATAGAAGGAGCAACTCTGTAAAGCTGCAATTGAAATATCAGACAATGAAAGATGTCCAAAGCTGCAAATGTTGCGAGGCCTAAAATCTAATAGAGGGGAGGGTACTTCTCGGTGCACCTCCGTGATATGGAGGTCCTTTTGGATGAAGATGATGCAGCCGCTCATCACACCCACATCTGGACACAAAAACACATGATGACATGAACAACAGTGAAAATATGTCAGAAACACAACACAAAACTATACATTTTGCAGTTTATTTCAGCAGTTTCATCAATATAAGGAAGAGCGTGCTAGTAAATCAGACACCGTCTGCAGAATAGTTTGACATCATCCCATTATATATGGTAGACATGAAACATTTCCGCCGGATTATTTGTAGATCAGTTTCAGTACGGTCAAGATTGGCATTAACAGATTGATTACGAAAAATATTTTAAATGGCCTTTTTTATGCAAGATAACATACGTTTATACGTAAGATAAGATCATTATATATTGTATTTGCTTGCTTAAATAAACCACCGAACAAAGCGAAAGGTACAGCCATTTGTAGGCTCATAGCTGAACGAGTAAGACCAAATCTGCATGAAGAACGAAACGCCATTCCAGACTTCCAGTGGAGCTCTGCTTACCGTAGCCGAGTAGCTCATGGTTGAGGGATGCGAAGACGGAGCCGGCAGCTGCCGCCCCTACCGCGAACACGGACGCTGTCGATGTGGGACCCACAGGGCTCCCCAGCAAAACAACTACGGACCATGGGCCCTGGCCTGACCCACGGACAGAAGCAAGAAGAGGTGCAGCGACTGCTACACGGAATCCGAGTAGAATAGGCCAGACTAGGCGGATTCCTATGGAAAGTACCTTCTGTATGTAGTTCAGGACACCTTCCGTGGATCCGACTAGGATTGTAATCGCACCACGGCCCTCTCTATTTATAAAGAGAGGCCGTGGGCACCCAAAAGGGAAGAACGATTGTAGCGCAATATTCCAATCAATCCAACGCAAAAGCACTGGACGTAGGGCTATTACTCGATCACGGTTGAGGGTCCGAACTAGTATAAATTGACTGTCTCTTGCGTTAACCGCTAAGTTCTGCATACGCCGAAGCCCGAACAACTACCCTGGGTACCCCCGTGGCAGGATATCGGTGGTAAAACATCGACAGCTGGCGCGCCAGGTAGGGGCTTTCGGCGAAATTGCATCCGAGAGCTCGACGGACCTCGACAAGATGATCTCCTCAAGGGGATCAACATTCATCTTCGGATCATGGGTCTGCGAGGTGGACGACGACGGCAAGCTCCAAAGCCGACTCCTCGAAGGTTCAGATCACAATGAAGATTTCAAAATTTCGATGACTACGGTGAACCAACTCGCTGGAAGACTCGAGCGACTTGTGATGTCCGATCCAACTCGGGCTTCGCGGCTGACCGCATCCGACTCAAACTCAGGCTCCATATCCGAGATGGAGTCTTACCCGAGTTCTTTCGATGGCAATCCGAGTTCTTTTCCGTTAGGACTCTGCAACGCAGCCTCAGCCTATCAAGAATTCAACTCGGAATACGTCCGAAGTTCTTTCAAGAAGTCGGGACCTTTCCCAAGTGGGCTCCACGGCATGGCAACATCCTGTCAGACACAGCTCGGAGAACCCACCAGTCCAGTGCGAACAGTGCAATTGAGAGGAGCTCAGGAAGGTTTGGTACTGACTATAACATCTCAAAACTGCATCGTCCACTGGCTGGGCTCTATCCCTAAAGATGAAAGTACCCGACTTATCGACACAACAATTACGACAACTCTACCCTACCAAGAAGGAGAATCGATCTGCGACACTGAAGCCTCCACTGAAGTGCTCAACAACTCGGATAATGAGGAAATTAACATCGATAACGGACCACTTCATGCTCGGGAAATATTGATGGTTCGTCGTCCCCAATCACTATTGGATCCTCCAGAAGCACCTGACGTCAGATCCTCAGACGAATCCGAATCGAATATATCGCCATTCACCCAGGGGTATGAAGGTGAAACAGAGAGCCAGAAGCAAGCTAGAGAAAAGAGGAATAAATTGAAGCAGGGACGCCAATGCCGTGCCAGACAGCGCAAAGAAGCTTGGATCAGATATGAGTCAGATCTGGCCGAGTACAATAAGAAGAAATCTCAGCTAGAGGCAGAAGAAAAATGCGTGGCAAATGCACCTTTCAACAGGATCTGAGAAGCGCTAGAAGAACTTGAAGCAATCTCTCACCCCGATGAAGAACAAGAACAGCTTCGGGATATTTTCCGGTCAGCAGCTCTAAAGATGCACGACGGAAGAACCCGCTCAAAATTACCCGCCAGAACAACATCCTGCAGGCAGGAAAGCTTGAGCCAGAACAACCGGGACAACCAGGACAGACAAAATCGCCAAAACAATAAGCATCAGGAAAGAAAGCGTGGACCCGACAACACCATAGCAATGGCAGACAAGTCAAAGAAAATTTTCAAACCCCGAAAGTATGAAGACATTGAAAATATGCGTTGTGTTTGGCACCCTAAAGCAAATCACTCAACCAGAGAATGCTATTTCTTCATTGATCATTATACGAGGAAAGATAAGAAGGAGGACAAGAAGGAAGACAACCACAAAAAAGACGAAGACAACAATGAAGATAAGGGATTCCAGAAGTCCAAGGGGACGGTAGCAGTGATCTTTACCGGGGTCCCAGGTTCTAGGGGCAAGCACCAAGACAAACTGGCCTACGAACCATCATGGCAGCAGAACCGGCTACTCCCAGATACCTCAATTGGTCGCAGTATCCAATCCAGTTCTCAAGGGAAGACCAATGGACCAGCGTAGGGAACGCAGGTCACTACCCACCAGTTTTGGATCCGACAATTGCAGGAATGACCATCACAAAAGTGCTAATTGATGGGGGAGCTGGGCTCAACATCATCTTTTCAGAAACGCTAAGGAAGATGGGGCTACAACTCGCTAAGATGATTACCCCAACAAGTGTCCCTTTCTACGGTATAGTACCCGGCAAAGCAGCCATGCCACTTGGACAAATCACTCTACCGGTTACTTTTGGAACCCCCTCAAACTACCGTACAGAATTCATTAAATTTGAGGTTGCAGACTTTGAGTCATCATATCACGCCATCCTCGGGCGACTAGCATTGGCAAAATTCATGGCGATTCCAAACTACCCATACCTCTTACTTAAAATGCCGGGACCCAGCGGTGTTCTTTCTCTCCGAGGTGATCTCAAGCGTGCCTTTGACTGCGATGTTCAGGCAATCCAAATTGCAGCCAAGGCACAAGCTGCCAGCAGAAGGGAAGAGATAACCACTATTG